CGTTGCCACACACAATAATGTAACAATATTAACATCCAAACACATACGTCCGACAACGTTGCAGCGCCGAGCGCTCGAGCCTTACTCTACCTCGATAGATCCGTTGCAAAGATAAGCGCGCGCCAGAGATGGATATTATTTTCGACTCGAAGTTTCTTATCTCTGGAATGCATCTCTCGCTTCACTGTACCTCGATAGATCCGTTGCAAAGATAAGCGCGCGCCAGCGATGGATACTATTTTCAACTCGAAGTTTCTTATCTCTGGAATGCATCTCTCGCTTCACTCTACCTCGATAGATCCGTTGCAAAGATAAGCGCGCGCCAGCGATGGATATTATTTTCGACTCGAAGTTTCTTATCTCTGGAATGCATCTCTCGCTTCACTCTACCTCGATGGATCCGTTGCAAAGATAAGCGCGCGCCAGCGATGGATATCCCGTTTGAATAGCATTAAAATAATTGAAATATCACGGAGGTCGGAATACCACAGTGCGTATATACGCTGCCTCATAATGCAAAGGTCCCTGGTTCAATTGCCCCCAGCGGTGACAGCTTTTTTTAATTTATTTATTCACGATGGCGACGTGACGACGTAGCAATAATTTGAATTTCGCGCTGGTTTTTAGTGGGCGTGGCCTCCAACCAAATGCTGGTCTCTGATTGGCTTGGTCTGGTAACCCTATAGCCCCTCTACTCAGTCAGTAGTCGGACAGTGGACTGAGTTTTACAAAAGAATCATATTATGTGATGCATGAAAGAAATGCTCAATAGATCAATAAGCCAAAAGAAACAACAAATTGTGTTACAAAATACAAAATCAATATGAATTCATAAGTTTGAAATATCCTTTGCCTATGTTTGATACACCATGTTGAAGACAGTCACGCACATCACTAAATTGGCGCGCTATTATAATTTCAATAGCACCAACTGCTCAATCGAAAAATGTCTAGAATGGCGTGGAAACATTGGTGCTACAGATTTCTCTTCATTTGGAGGTAATATGTTATTTCCAGGCAAACTTGAGAAAACTATGTTTCTATTTCAATAGAGTGGTCCTTCATCAGGCTATTACTTCAAGGAATGATCTTTGATTCTCGTTTTCGCGATAGAGGGTGTTGCATAAACTTTTTGAAATAATATAAGTTAATCATAGTCTACTTATTCATAAGATGAAAGCACTTGGTGTTGATGGAAACTATTTGAAATTGATTACGTCTTATTTAAACAAGTGAAATCAGATTGTTAAAATAGGAGGATCCACCTCTGAAACGATTAATGTTACCTCTGGCGTGCCTCAGGGATCCCACATTGGACCAATTCTATTTTTATGCTTTATTAACGATGTTATCAATTGTTTCGGAAATTGTAATGTTTTACTTTATGCAGACGATCTCAAATTCTACAGAGTTGTATCATCTCAAGATGACAGTCATTTGATTCAGAATGACCTAATCAATTTTAGCAATTATTGCCAGCGGAAGTTTTTGAAAATCAATATTGATAAGTGTAAAATCATGCGTTATTATAAAATACTGAATCCATGTATATACAATTACAATATTGATAAAGTCGATCTGCAAACAGTAGCTAGTATCAGCGATTTGGGGATAATATTTGACAAAGAACTCACTTCCAATGATCATATCAACAATATCTGCAATAAGTCTCTCAGAATGGTGGGTTTTATGAAGAGGCAAGCTACAAATATCTCAGATCAGGATGCCATCAAAACGCTGTATATTTCACTTGTTCGGAGCGTTCTTGAATATAATAGTATCATCTGGTCACCAGTATACAATTGTCACAAGAGTCGTTTAGAGAGAGTACAAGGTCGGTTCACAAATTTTCTTGTTTGGAAACTTGGACTTTCCTTCCATGATCTCGGCCCTCTTACTAGAATTTCATTGTTGAATCTTCAAACTTTAGAAGATAGACGAATTATTGCTATGACAAACTTTTTATTCAAAATTGTAAATGGTATTATAAACTGCCCTGAAATATTGGAAAAATTATCATTTCACGCCAATCCTAGGGCTACGAGAACCTGTCACACTTTCTACGTGAAAACCCACCGTACTAATTATGGTCGTACTGCTTTCTGTTGTAGACTTCAAGAAAACTACAATCTCCACTACTCATCAATAAATATATTCAATGTCTCTAATCAAGTATTCATGAAACAACTCAAATCCCACTTCACTAATACTACCTAAATGTCTGGAAAAGTAATTACTTTGTATCCTCTTTCCCAATATGTACCTATATGTTTATCTCGTTTTATATATATAATATACTTGTACACATATACTTTAGTATTTTAGTTTTTATTTGTTTTTGATGTTTTGTTTTGTTTGTTTGCTCGTTAGTATAGTCATAGTCTTCTATACTGTACCATTTGGAATTTTTATCGAATTCTGTAGTGTACTTAAGTAAATAAATAAATAAATAAATAAATAAATAAATAAATAAATAAATAAATAAATATTCACGATGGCCTAATGAATGTTCTGTTTTGAAAAAACAAAAAATAATTTTCTCTAAAATTGTTCTATCTTTCATTCGGTTACTCCCCCTAACGAGCAACCCTCAGAAGTCTTCAAGAGACTTGTGCGAGCAAGGAATGACAGGGACCTTATACCTTTTAACGTGTGATCCCAAAACACTTTCTTTGGCCATCAGAAAAATTTCTGTAGTCGTTGAGAATCGAACCCACGGCCGGTAAGCGAATGCTGATTATCAATATTGACACTTTGTCCGCACGGCTATCTGGCCGATATTTTCAAGAGGAATGGCTGATTGAAACATTAAAGCGACCAGAACGAATAGAAAAGCGCTATAGAAATATAAAAACTTACTTTTCTTCAAGATAAAAGGCACAAGCAGTAAATGATTGTCAATTGGTGTTGAACACTGTTCAAGATACTCGAAAACTTGATGCGTTGGTATCGAATGATTCGTCTAGATACGGCTAGCACATTTTATACTCTCGAGCTATTAAATTTTTTGCATTTCCCGCGAATGTCGGCATATGGCTGCAGATAACAGCAATCTAAATTTTTCGCATTTCCAACGAATATCGGCATGTGACTACAGATAACAGCAAATCTATGGACGGCTATCGACGGATACATATACGGAGATATTTATCCGTCTAGATACGGCTAGCACATTTCAAACCTCCGGAGCTATTAAATTTTTTGCATTTTCAGCGAATGTCGGTATGTGGCTGCAGATAACAGCAATATAATTTTTTCGCATTTCCCACGAATGTCGTTATGTGACTACAGATAACAGCAATCTATGGATGGATATCGCCGGATATATATAGGGAGATATTCAGGAAGTATGTCAAAGCCATGTTTATTAATCATAATATGTTAAGGTTTATGATGAAATAATCATTATCTATTGGTGTAAAATGCATAAACCACCGGTGCATCGTTATCTTTTATATATTCAACATTTCCTTCATGTCTATTTCAGTATAAATAGGCGAAACTGAATTTATTATTCATTCTCCTGATTCTTTGATGAATTCAATATTCTGAGTGTTAGTGTCTGCATTATCATCAATAATAGTAAGTACCCCTCTTTTCTCGATTACCTATGGTATTTCATGTCTGAATTTATTTTCTTGGTCCTTTGATTTTTTGCTATACGTAAATGACCTCCCAAATCACGTCAGCACGAAACATCTGATTTTATATGCTGATGATACCATTTTGACAATGGATGCTGAGTCGGCGGAAGAACTAATTTCGAAAATGAATATTCTGTCTAGAGAATTTACCTCGTGGTGTAGAAGGAATTCTCTGATTGTTAATTCTGCCAAAACCATTCGTATGCAGTTTTTCACCAGAAATGGAATATCTGAAAGTAGCAGAATTTCAGTAAATAATATCGAAGTTCCTTTTTCGAAGTCTACAAAGTTTTTAGGTGCATTTGTGGACAATAATATGAGTTGGAATACGAATATTAATCATGTTTGCAAGAAACTGAATAGTGGTTACTTTGCTATACTGCAATTGAAAGATATCTTTACAAAGAGCCAATTGCTCAATGTATACTATGCTATCGTTTACTCGCATCTTTCGTACAATTTCATTATCTGGGGTAGCGCAGTCGGCGCGTCCAGAGTTTTCATTTCTTAGAAGAGATTCGTTTAATCTTCAACTTAGACAATAGAGAAACATGTCGAAATCATTTGAAAAAATATGAGCTTCTCACATTTCACTCAATCTACATCTACAAATGCATAGTTTATGCCAAAAGTAATTACAAAGATTTTGCTTTCAACTCACACTATCACGACTATCCTACTCGATCTCCCAACCTCATGAGACCCCCCCACCCAAACACGGAACAAGTCTATATGAAAATAGCCCAATGTACAAGGGAATCCAATTTTTTAATCATTTGCCGGTCTGTATAAGATTGTAAGACAACTTCAATTTATTCAAACATAAACTCAAAAAGTTCCTATGCAACGAATGTTTCTATGATAAAATGATTTAAACAACAAATATAAGATGTTTAGCAGAAGTTACTGTATTGTGATTTATTTATATTTTTCATATTAATATATAGTTCTTAATGTTATTTTATTCTGACGAGAACTTTCTTTCACTGACATATCCTATATCATGTTTCTTTGTAATCAAAAAGGACGAATACATTTTTATTATTATTATTATTTTACAAAGCATAATTATTCTAGAAAATGTCGTATGATTCAGGATATGAATCTGATGATGATTTTGATGCAGAAATTATTGCATGGGCAAATTGGGTGTTGAGGGAGTTCCCCCCTCAACTTGGGCATCAGCCTCCAGTTGTGTGAGTACATAATTTGATCCGTATGGTTAAAATATACCATTATGCTTCAATATTGAGCTATTTATGATCTCTAAGCGCTTTGTCTAGATAACGAATTTCATACAATTTTAGAGATAATGAAAATGGTGCGGAGGGGCTGCTCATCGCTGAGCAACAGAACATGGAAATGTGAGTTCTAAAAATTGATTCTACTAGGTGTTTATGAATTCAATATAGTTTTTTGTAGCAATGATGATGCTAATAATGAGCCTATAGTGATGTAAGTTCTGAAATTGATTCTGTTAGGTGTTTATGAATTCAATATATTTTTAGTAGCGATGATGAGCAAGAAATGGAGGTAGATGATGAGCCTATTGAAATGTGAGTTTCATAAATTTATTCAATAAGGTTTATGAGTTTAATACATTTTTTAGAAGCGATGATGAGCAAGAAATGGAGGCTAATGAGCCTGTTAGGATGTGAGTTCCATAATTTAATTCAATTAGGTTTATGAATTCAATATATTTTTAGATTCGTTGATGCTCTAGCCCCTAAGGGATGGAGAAGTAATTTTCAATTATATTCCCGAGGGGGAGATCATTTATAAGTGAGTTTATGTAAAGTGACTCTAGAGAAATGCTCATAATTTGATATAATTTCAGGAGTGATTAGTCCGATGAGGCCATCTGATGGATGGTCCTCGATGCAAATCTTTCAATATCTTTGATGTGAGTTTTAAATTGATTTTGCAGTATTTTTTCTAATCTCATATAATTTTAGGACTGCTTGCAGGAGAAAGCATCTTGGTAGGATATTGGCTCCATATTGGGGATGATATCCTACCAAGATCATGTTAAGTAGTTAAAATAGGATTCAAGGTGAGACTTTCTACTTTAAAAAAAAGTAACGAGCCATTATAGTCTGTATAATATTTTCTTTGCGTGTGAATGAGATCTATTAACACCATGCTATCCTCTTTCAGAGTAGAATATGTAGCAGAAATTTCTATCATGACGGGAACTTGCATTTTAACTCTATTCTCAATACATCACACCAATGCCTTGCTGAAACAACTGACCACAAATTGATTTGATACATTTCTTGACGTTGTCACGCATGCGTAACGAAATATTATACGGGCTGTATGGGTCATACCTCGAAGGGTCATGCTCATCGTTTATGAAACTTTTTCTCGTGATACTCATCACGCATTGTCTGATGATGTTATGGAAAAACAGTTTGCGTGACCTTCAGGTGGTTATGGAAATTGACTCACCCTGTATATACTTGTAAAATGCATCAATTTGAATAAATTTGCTTCATATTACCTGAATATGATTCACTCTGTATATTTTCTTGCTTTATTATTAGGTAGTATTTTTGCGAGAGGGAACGTGCGATAAGAGATATCGTTATCGTCTATGTTGAGTTTGAATATATGCAATCGATTTATTTTTAGTTGAATCGCTCGCTGTTCGCTCCTATTCATTACTTTCATTCCGTAGGTATTTATATCAATTTTTCTATATATAGTAATTCGGGATTGGGTAGCTCTTCTTATCACCTCCCTCCTCCTAGATGATTCCCTTTTTTCAATTAAACGAGGCGGGTGCCATTGATCTATAGAGAATTTTCAGACCTATTATGGGTCTATGAGGAATCTTTCTCATCGAGTAGTTGACATTTTTTTTCTGTGTGAACGCTGCCATGTTTATTTTTCTGTATAATCGCTAATCCCTAAGGACCCTAACCCCTTACATTATGAGTTTAACTAGTGAAATTTTCACATATTTCGCCAGTACTTCTCTGGTGGAGCAGCGATCTTTTTTTCGTGTCTTGTTTAAGAGTTGTTCGACATATTTCCTGGTTTTCGAATACTTCCACTCCATACGTACCCTGTCAAAAAACATCTGTCATACGTAAGCTATCCCTTTGCCGAGCCCACCTGAAGTGTGGTGGTCTAACCTTGTATATTTTTTATTGCTATTCAGCTCAACCGTCTTTTATATTGAATGAAATCATGAGCTTGCGTTAGCTGTCTAATTGAAATAACTGTATTCAGTAATGGGCTATAAAAATCAGGTTATTCAACAAAGTATCACACCTAAACATGGCTAACCTCTAGCCTTCATAACCTCCTAGCACCCTTAACCTATACGCGGAGTAGTCTATCCGCCAGGTGCCTGCTTTGTTTCGCTTTCGGCAAGCATCGGGTATACGATATACGTAGCGACCGCCTATCGAATGTCATAAGCCATCTGTCGGCTGTCGATTGTTCAGCGAGCACAAGAAGGTCACGTGGTATACCTCGTATATCATATATCGAATGTATTATGTTAGTCGTCATCCGCTGTCGTACTTTAGGTGTTATAGCAGTCTCTGAGTATGACAAGAAGTGGGGTGGTCTACCCGCGAGTCGCCCTATATCTATAACTCAAACACCCTGTATATTACATAATACAATATGGCGGCCGAGCGTGATGCCGTACAGCTATCGGCTGAGCTGAACAAATTAAAAAAAAAACGAAATTATCGATATAATTGTGAACCTGAAAGTGCCACACAACACTACTAGTGAACTGCTTGTGAATTTCATAACAAAACTGCGCCAAAAATGTGCTCCAACCGATGAAACTGAGACATTTCATGATAGCCATGATGCAGTGGACATCGACAATCGCTTAGTGACATTTGAAAACGATAAATTGAAAGTGCAGGTGAAATCCCTCAAGCAGGAACTAGAACCTGTGAGTAAATTGACATATCACCTTGAAAAACGGACTCAAGAGCAAGAGGACCTCATACTGTTATTAAAACAGTCGATTAATTACAGTCCTGATTTGTCAAAATCCAAATTAGCACCTAGTGCGCCATCTGTTAGTGCTGATCCGCTTCCAGTTCGATCCAACAAGGCGAATGCTTTGGAAACCTCGAACCAGCAAAAAACATCGGGGCCGCAAAAAACGTACTCGTCTATCTTGACTGGAACTGGAATTCCTCAATCTACAAAAAATACCGAACAAAAACAATTGCTGGCCGAATCATCGAGCAACAACCTTCAAGGGAATTCCCAGAATAGAATAAACAATAACAAAAGTAGCCGTTTAAAACCAACTATCGGATCTAACAAGAATGTTATGATAAAGACAGTTCCGAAAATGGGTCATATACATGTATGTCGGCTAGGCGCGAACACCACAAAAAACGAACTCCTCGAGCTATTGAAAATCACAGCCCCAACTATAGAATTTCAATGTGAAGACTGGAATCGAACAAATAGATCCTCGTCCTTCAAAGTTACTTTTCCATTGGATCATTTGAATGAAGCCTATGACCCCAAAATTTGGCCCGAGGGGGCAGAAATCAGAAGATTCAAATTTTATAAGAAGACAAATTTTCCAGAACCATTGCGAGAAGACGCGACGGACGAGGGACTAATTTAAAAAATGTAAATCACCATGTAAGTGTGTTCCACGTCAATATTCAATGTCTCTCCAACAAAATAGACGAGCTATCTCATTTTCTGGACGTGGGCAATAATTATTCAGCTGTATGTGTCTCCGAACACTGGTTGACTGAAAATCAAATTCGACAAATAAATATACATGGATATGTATGTACTCAGCAGCTATTTTTGCAGGACTACTAGTAAACATGGAGGAGTGGCTATCTTCACTAAAAAAACACTCAAATTCAAGCCTTTAGATCTCAAAAAATTTTGCTCGGAACTCAACGCGGAATTCTGCGCAATTGAACTTCGTTCAACGAAAACTGCTTTAATCACTTTATATAGTAAATGCTTAGGTGACATCAATATTTTCATGCAGAAATTAGAGGACCTCATTAATGAATTGTTTTGCTTGGTGATTATAATATAAATTTTTTGGGTTCATACAGTGCATTGGCTGACCTGGTTTGTCTGGTATCATCCTATGGACTTGAAATTTCTATTTCTGAATACACTAGAGTTACTGATATATCATCAACATGTATTGACAATATTTTGACGAACATTAACATGGATTCCTATGCATCAGGGGTTACAAAATGCTGTTTCTCTGATCATTATGGAATATTTATTGATATTAAAGGCGAAGTCGAAGCTGAAGAATCCCATGTAAAAACCTGGAAGCGGAGAATAACTGAACAAGGTTTGAGAGATTTCAAGACATCATTGCTCCACTCAAATTGGCATTCTGATTTTTATTCTTCGAACGATATTGACTATCTCTCTGAATTCATGATCCATAATTTTCAATCTCTAGTTAATACTTTTTCTCCACTGAAGAAAGTTACGAAACAGGAACATCCTCCTGTAAAATGGTTCAATGATGAGTTACGGGAAATGCGAAATAGAGTTTCGAGTATTAAACTTATCTACGACTCAACCAAAGACCCATTGGCGAAAATAGATTTCAAAGATTCACAAAAAAACTACAAACTTTTATTAGCTCAAGAAAACAAAAGGCATATGAACAATATCTCAATAATTCCAAAAACAAAAGCAGAGACAGTTGGAGAATAGCAAACTTTGAAGGTAACCGGAAAACGCATAATACGAGCCAAACTCCAATACACCCAGATGTATTCATAGATTTCTTTGCTACTATAGCTGACAACGTAACAAGGTCTTTACCTGCATCGAACTATGCCGCCAACAGTTACTTGGAGTTCATACCAAAACATAATGAAAATTTTTTCTTGGGACCAGTAACGAATTTAGAAATTTTGGATGCTATAAAACGCCTCAAAGATACCTCCAGCGCAGATTTATATGATCTGACGAGCAAAATCATAAAAGAATCTCAGGACATTCTAGTTGCACCGTTAGTTTACCTTATTAACTCATGTTTCGAACAGGGTTCTTTCCCGGATATCTTCAAAGTCTCTAAGATCATTCCTATATTCAAAAAAGGGGATGTTCAACTTCCCGACAATTACCGACCCATTTCTATCATCCCAATATTTGGCAAACTAATTGAAATCATTTTGAAAAATCGTTTAATTAAATATTTTGAAAGATTCAATTTACTGCACAAGAGTCAATTTGGCTTCAGGCAAGGGTGTTCAACAATTGATGCCGTATGTAAAATCGTGGCAGACATAGTCGAGGGCCTTGAGGAGGGGAAACACACGGCCGTTACCATGTGTGATCTCAGCAAGGCCTTCGACTGTGTCAATCACGGAATTCTCCTCGAGAAACTCACTTACTACGGAGTCAGAGGTACCCCCCTCAATTTAATGAGGTCTTACTTGAAAAACAGAAAACAGTGTGTTGTGACTGATAACAACACATCCGGATTCAAGTTTATTGAACATGGTATACCCCAAGGCTCGGTACTCGGACCGCTACTTTTTATCACCTATGTAAACGATCTCTTCTATTATTTATTTCCAAATAGACTAATCATGTTCGCAGATGATTCTACCTTGATCAATAGCGACTGCAGCATTGCCAGTCTACATGTAGCTATAAATAACACTGAAAATCTTGCTGAAGAATGGTTTACTGCTAATAAATTAAAACTGAATCGGGACAAAACACATGAACTGATTCTCTCGAGCAACAGACATCACTGCGAGGGTGGAAGTGCCAAGCTTTTGGGTATATACCTAAACGATTCTCTTTATTGGTCGACTCATATCACGCATGTCAGTAACAAAGTTTTTTCTTATATTTTTCTATTGAGACAACTTAAAAAAAGTGTTAATGAGACTCATAATTGATGTCAGTATATTGTCAAGATATAATGATCATTCGTATTTTATTCAGTTATTTTAAATTCCAATTTTTAGTCTTTTCCCAGTAAATATATTATTCATAGCTAATTTTACATTTCCGGAAGACAGTTCAGTCGATCGTAGTTGCCAGGAAATCAGGAATCCAATTTCAATCAGTATTATTTTGATTTGCAATCTTTTTACCAGGTCGCTGGCACCTATGATCGGGTAAATTATCGCTGACGGAGTATTTTCCGAAACAAGGAATATCGAGTTTGATGAAAAAGCCGGCATTACGATTAGGGATCGCGAGTAGTGCGATCACGCGTTTCATTCTTGAAGTAAGTTGAGTTTTTCGACACACCGCGCCCCTCGAGTTCCACCCCCATGGAGAAGCACGCTCTTTGGTGAGTACATGATTTCTATGTTATATTTATGTTTCATTTTTATATTACCTCATATACTATGTGTTCTGGTTATTTTGTCTCGTTGACGCTCGACATCTTTTGTTTTTGTATTTTTCACTCATTTTTGTAGTCCTTCAATTTACGCCCCAATGTGAGCTTATGATTGAATAAAAATTCATGAATTTGTTAAGTTGAATCTAGCCCCATTATTCTGCTGCCAAGCGAGTAACCCCTCACTGGTCATAGGTTTGAATGTCTCGAGAAGGATTATGGGTACTTACAATTCTACCCCTAGAGATTTAAACGTGACATATGGTGGAGGCGCCGAATTAATTTTGACGCTAATTCTCCGAAATTAGCTTTCTTTTTGTCACAGTTTGATTATTCTCATACTGCTGAGTAATGTTACATATTTTTTTTTTCCTACTTGAAAATAATTGGACCGACAAGATAATGGGGGCTTTGGTTCATTTTCACGAGTATTCTCTCTAAAAAAAAAAATAAAAAAAAAAAAAGTAGTTCTTTTCGAGGGTGCATATCAGAGGAAATGTTGAGGGCGCTTCAATTTTTTTTTTAACTGGATCAATTCCTTCTTCTTTGTAACATAATCTGACTATTTAGTTTTCCATTTCACTTCTTCATATCCATATGAGTATTTTTTGTTTTTCTGACGAATAATGAGTAAATATATACATTTTTCAAGTCTAATATTGAACAATTTCTTAATTTTTGTGATATGACTTGAGTTTTATTTGTTTAACTAGTTTTTATTCGGGAAATATTCTAGTTTCGATGTTGAATTGATGTAACTTGATTTTTTTTAATTGGGATGAACACAACTTGATTTCAATATTATAATTCTTTTTCGAAAAGCTGATGTCGAGCGACAATGAAAAACGTATAACACGTTCTACCAAATTGCGATTGGAGTCTCTCCCCGCAGAAGTAAGTTCTTTTACACCACCCTTTCGTAGCACTGACCAATTTAATTTTAACGACCCCTTCGCTAGGTCGCCTTTAGTAAATCGATCTCCTGAACGGCAACAAAATCATTTTCTTTCTAAAAATCAATCAGTTGGGGCTTCAAGGAAATGTACAAATCTTATAACTGAACCTGATTTATATTCCAATGAGGGTGGCTTTGGTACCGCAGGTTTAGAAAGTAGATCAAATAATCAAAATCCAAAAACTCCTCTCGTAAATCTTGAGTCAACTAATTCTTCTAGGGCAAATAGCCCGCCGCCAAATAACACCTCATCAACAGGAACATCTTCTAGAGTATCCACCCCGGAACTCAACATGGGAGACACAACATTCGCGGATAGTTTGACCCAGCCTAAAACCCCCGCGAAACCAAAATTTTTGTGTCCCTCAACGTTCAACCCTTGCACATCAAATGCAAATTCTTTCTTGAAACAATATGAAAGAACTAGTGCTGCAAACGGTTGGGACGATGGTCTAAAAATGGTTTATTTCGAAACATTTTTAGAAGGGGCAGCCGAACAATGGTTCAGGCGATTCAAAAACGACAATAGTAGTCTAAATAAAACTTGGACCAATATAAAAAATGATTTCCTGGAGGAATACGGTGAAGGTGAGGTGAAAAGGTCTCTAGAACG